GGGGTACCAGGCATTTTCTGGAGAAGGTGGGTTGACAGTGATTCTTGACCCAATTTGTGTGGCTGTGGGCTGCCATCATCCACAGGCTGCTGCTTGTAGATACAACCCCCCCCCCCATGTCTTTGAAGACATTCTCCAGCACCAGCACCACCCCTTGCTTGAACGCTGTTCTCTTTCAGACTTCCCCTGCAAATGGGAGAAATGAAGATTCCTGGATCATCTGGGAGCTTCTGCTAACATTCATCTTGTCTCGTGCACAGCCTCAGAGAACATCTCTTTAGATTGGCAGAGCCACAAATAGTCCAGGGTCCCACCAACTGGGAGGTTCAAGAGTACCTTTCTGTTTCTGTTCCCCAACAAAACAATTTGTTTTCTGAGACTTGCTCATCTCTGAGGGGCTTCATAGCCAGGAGCTGTGCATTTGATTCCAGGAATCTGAGGAATCCCCCACTTAAAGCGGTGCAACATGGAGGCCATCATGACATCTCGGTGAGGAAAAGTGACTCATAAAACAACGGAGGTGAGTCAAGTGGAAAAAGCTGCAGAGGAACCTTAAGTGGCGAGGGGTGAAGGGGGCTGCATTAATTCCATCCTTTCATAAAGTTCATAGGACTTCAGTTTTTACTCAGGGACAAAGGTACTTGGAGGAGCTTCACTAGGAGTCCCCCAAAGTATCATGGTGTCTGATCAACCCCTGTGAAACCAAGATGCTTGATCTTTGGACTGGGTCCACCTCAGAGCTCTTCTCCTGCTCCTGGATGCCAATGGGAGTTGCCCAAGTGCCCCACTTGGGCAGGAGGATGGAGGTCCAATCGGAAGGCTACAGAGCCATGTAGAGGTTTGGATTCAGTCTCCAAAAGTGCTTTGGATGGTGGCATCAGTGGTGGGGTTAAAGAAGGGAAGTTGGGGCTGTGATGGAAAGAATGGCTGAACTTCATTGGAATGAAATTCTCGCTACCAGATTCTTGGGAAGAAAAGCTTGTTTTATGTTAATGACAGCTGTAGAGGCGACCACAGCTAGTCCCCAAAAGGATTCAGAATCCGGACCAAATTCTATGTTAATGTGGGAGATCAGTGTTCAGACTTGGAGAGCAATTCTATTTTTGTTCGCATTTTTGGCATGGTTGTGGGGGCCGGTTCAGCTGGTTGCTCTGGGAGACTGCTGGCCTCCCCCCCCCCATTTCCAGATATTCCCATGAACTGAACTGAATCCCAGTTTTGCTATTCCCGTAAGAAAGTCCGGGTAAATAGGGAGGGCCTTTTCAGGCATAATTCCTCCAATTTAGGCATGCTCCGTCTGCAATCACACACAATCAACAGCTCTGAATATACTGATTGCTTGTGTTTGCTATTGTTGAAAAATAAATGGTAATTATAGAAACAACAAATACAGTGGGAGCTTTACTAGTTCTGATATTGTCATTAGAAAAGAGAGAGAAATGTGTTTTGTTTGCATTTGAATGTGAATGTATCTAATTTGGTATTTTCAAACCAACGCATGAGTCAAAATTTGCCCTTATTTCACTTTTGCAGATGCAGTTCTCCAATTAAAAAAGAAAAAGAAGTATGTTGGGGGAAAAGTCGGCACAAAAATGTATGTAGTCATGAAAATAATGTACAAAAGTGTGCTGTCTTTGTGGAAATTGCAGAAAGGTTTGTTAGACAGCATTGGAAATTAAAAGGCACATGTTGGGAGAAATGTGTACCAAAATACCAAAACATTTCAGTGAGAAATAAAAGAAGAAAGAGAAAAGGAAGGAAGGAAGGAAGGAAGGAAGGAAGGAAGGAAGGAAGGA